GCCTAAACAAACTGCTTTAACAAACAAAATAATAAATATGGACATAATCTATTTGTGATAATACATCCTTTTCCCGAGCTATATTGTATTTGTAAAAAATGGCAACTAAGGAGATTAAATACTTGTAGCAAAATCTCTCACTCATCCATTAACTTATAAAAATTATCAACTGACAACTTTGTGACATGCATTGTTCCTACTCCGTACATTATTTGGCTTGTACAAATGCTTTGGACATATTGAGACCTAAGGGTTGAAGGGAAGTTGAGAAATGATGATAAGAGTCATGCAGAAATTGAATTAATAATCAAAATTAAAAGATACTATCAAAAATGTTGCACTAGAAAGTGAATAATTGCATCATGAAATTGCAAAGCTGGAAGGAATATGAAGGCTAAATAATGCCAGAAATGCATAAAATCGGTCTAGAGTTTTTCCTGGCTTTTTCAGTGGTGTCACTTGATTAAGTTACATGGAACTTTGGTGTGCTGTCCAGACAGTTTAGAGTTAATGGGATTTGGGATAGTTAGTTAGGAATTGTGAGCTGTCCCCTTAAGGGAATGCATCATGGTAAATGTAGTTAAGGTATCCTGGGAAATGTAGTCCATGTCATGTGGTCACATCTGTAATCCTGATTGGTCACTAAATTGACCCTTGTTGGGTTGGGGGAGGCTCCCTCACTCTTGCCTAAATACAGCCTCATGGTGGCAGCTTTACCCTCTGCCTCTGCGACTATGGGATAGAAATATTAATATCATTTACACTACGAGTTCAACTATGCAAAGAATTGGACATTAGATGCATCTCGACATAACCATGAGTCACTTTGAGGATACCTAATATAATCCAATAAAAGAAACTTTGTATGGAAGAATTTGTAGAGTTATTCTATCTGTCTTTATATTCAGCAAATGAATCATAAGACAGAATATTTGGAGTCTTTTGATACTTATTTGGGAGTAGGTTCGGGACTTTAATAGATCACCTAGTCCTATCATTTCATGTGTACTTAGGTTTTTTATTCATAAAGCCTTTTTAGTACAAGCAATGCAGACTAACAAAATAAAAAGAAGCAAAACCAAAAGTATGAAACAAAATGTGTCATGTACAATGTAGGAGAAGCTGACTATGTCTTCTTAGTAATGCCACTTACATCTTTGAGGATACAGTCAAAAGTCTTAGAGTTTTCAAAGGGCTACAAGGGTGGTATTTCTGATCCTGCAGTTCTTGTGTTGAGATTGCTTATTAACATCAGCTGAAAAAGTACAATGATCAACGAACAAACAATAAACTGTTTTTTATTTAATAGACTGTTAAATTGAGGATGTATCAATTAAATCAAAGTTTACTATATATGCTATCTACATTAGGTATTTAATTACAAGAATAAAAAACAAATGTTGTTAGATAATATACATTAATTACTTTCAGGTTTAACAGGTTTCCCTCCATTTCCCTCACCCATTAAATTTTAGAATATGTATATGTAATACACACAGAGATCATACTGAAGGGTGTCATATAATATTCACTAAAATATAGTATATTTCATTGATTTGTTGAATGCTATCTTGTGGTGATTTATAGTATATTACAGGATATTCCTGCAGTTTTTCAATATAATAGTTTATTATATGACTCTCCCAATTGAGAATTGAAATCCATCTATTTATCACTGAATTCATTCCACTAGTTTACATTACTTTTAAAGCATAGCAATTCTTTCCAGAAGTAGAAAAAGGTGACCTGAACATCTTCTATGTGCCTGAAAATAATGAAATTTTGGTTCTGAATTTTTTTACCATCACAAAGTGGCTGACAGATAGTAGGGTGTCCCCAGTGCCAGATTTTTTCTCTTGCAAGCTAACTAAAAGGTTATTGCCTAAACCTACATCTTTAAATAATACCAAGTAGAAAGAGGATTGTTTCATAGGCTTTATTGAGATATAAACAACCATACTTTAAAAACAAATTACAGTTATTTTTGAAAACAAGGAATGTGAAATTTATAATTACAAAGTATTTTGCATTAAAAATATTTGTAGCATATACCACTTCCACTTCCAGAATGGGCTATAAGAAAAAAGCACAAAATATTAAAATGGCCTTTTGTTTCTTTTTTACAAAGTGCTTCTTTTGAAAAGTGTTATAAAATGCATTTCTTTAGGTTTAATCTAATAGGGAATTACCAATACAGTACTGCCATTTCATAAAGCTATTTCTACTTTCTCTTTTCTGTACAGTAGTCTCTCTCTGTCTCTCTCTCTCTTCCAAATTCAGCACCTTTCATTGACCATTCAGATTATGGAGAAAAGAACATTTACATTTATAATGCAGAGCATATAGAAAAATATCACATTTATTCTTTTCCTGGAAATTTAGGAATTGTAAAAAATTAAAGCAGACGAAGATCAAATGTCCAGCATTTTATCAAACAATATTATTTAGAGAGACACAAATTCATTCACATAATACAGAACAGTGGAATTTTGTGGTATAGACAGTGTCTGTCTGTCTGTCTGTCTGTCTGTCTGTCTGTCTGTCGACATGATCTCTGATTTTAATTCCTTCCTGCTGATGTCTCTGAATTGTTGTATTTTCAACACTGTGAAGATAATGTTCTGGAATAGCTGAAATATTAATGTATTCAAAAGTAACACATTGGAAATAAAAAAATTCTCCAGATTGTCTCAAATAAATGTCCTATCTTGTTTGTACGGTTATTGTTGATTATTGGAAAGGCAGCAGAAATAGGTCAAAGGTCAATAAATGCTATAAATAACTTATACTATTGTTACCCCAACATTTTAAAGGAACAATTTCCATTAATTTTGCTGGAATATGATTCTATATGAATACATTGAGGCAATAATAACAATTCTCTTAATTTCTGTATCATTCTGCATGTTGACATAATTTCAAGTATCAAATTAAAAAAAAACAAATAAACAAAAGCAGATCTTTCAGTATCAATAATGCCGGAAGGCTGTCCTTTACCACACAACAAATGTAATTTGCTATATTACAATAAATTCCATATATTAAGATGGAAAAGAATTATACAAGTATTTTTCATCACTTGATATACACAGATTAACTCTAAAACATCAATATGAAATGTGGCATTTATTTGTATTATTTCTTAGTCTATTGCTCCAATTAATTGGATTACAATTCCTCAAATGATATACAAACTGCTTTCATAAATGATTGTATTTACAATGCTCAAGCTACTGATACGCATACTGTTTATTCCTGTATAACTGATATTATTCCTGCATAACGTCCACTTAGGACAGAAATGCAGGTCAGTGGTTTGAAAACTAAACAAACACTACAAATACTTTATAGACCTATTTTAATCTGCACATAAAGCTAATACATTTCAATGATCTCACAGTAACTCCACAGGATCTTTTTGAATTCAATTTATAATTCCTGGTGAAACACTGATGAGCTCTGGGCCAGAATATGCACCCCGTTCTTAGCTAGCAAATTAAATTGTTATACAGTAAATACCGTGTTTCTCATATAATAAGGCTGGGTCTTATTTTTTTTTGAGCCCCGAAAAAATGACTAGGCTGTCTTTTCGGGGGTGACTTAATTTCCCCCCCTTGCATCTTTGGGCGGGCGGCGACGGCTTGGATGTTGACCTTGGCGTTGGTGGGGCACTTCGCATCAGGGTCAACGTAGGCAGCACCATATCCGGGTGTGCCACAAAAGTACTTCCTAACGGCAAGCCCCCCCACCATTCCCCCCCCATTTTGCAAGTTTTAATATAGGCCTTAATTTGGGGGGAGGGGCTTAATTTCATTTCATGCCTATAAAACATGCTGGGACTTCCTATTGGGGGAGGCCATATTGTTGGAGAAACAGGGTAGCTACCCACATATACCCCTACATGTTGTGTACAGAGTTTTCCCTTAGTGAATCTGGTCACAGAAGTTGTCTTTCTTTTTCTAAATAGTGCATTACAGTGCTGTTGATGTTGCCAAATGCTGATGATGTTGCCTAGTTGGGAAATCAAACATCTGCAAGCCCAGAGAGCATCAAGGACTCTACAGTTCAACTACAGAGTCTATTGATATATTTTTTTCATTAGAATTATATAAATTTTATCAAACAAATACAATTCCCTTTATCTTTATATAGTACAGTACTGTACTTTTAAAATTATCTTTATATACTGCCTTTTCTTTGGAAGAATGATATAGCTTATAGAATAATTCCTTCCTCTCATTTTCTCCAAGCAACTTTTGAACTAGTTTGAGCTAAAGGTTACCCAGGAAGCCTTTATGGCTAAAGATAGATTGGGTCTCTCTGGTAGCAGTCCAGCCTCTTAAACACTGTCAATAAAAATGGCTGTCATATTACCATTCTCCTGGACCCATATTAATACTGAACTTTCAATTGAAGTCTATCTTAAAAAGTGATGAGCAATTTTTGCCATTCACTGACTGATGTTGCTCTACACATTTCTGTATTTAAAGTAGAAGTCTAGTATGGTCATACCCAATCACAATCTTACATTAATAATGAGAACCTATGAAAGTGGTGATACCTATTTTTCTATTTATGAATTTAAAACAAGAATGTCTTATTTTCGTATCTTGACAATATCTTCAGTTCTAACATTCAAATATCCATTTTTATGTAAAAAGAAATATATATTTTAATATACAGTAGCTATATGATTGTTTTTTCTAAAAAGACTTATTTTAAAAGTCTGATACTAGATAAAAAGTGGATTATAAGGAATATGAAAAGATAATATGAATCTTAAAAAGAAATATACTTAACAGCAACTGAAAGTTCTACATCTACAGGGTTGTCCCTTTGTAGCATGATATATAGATCACACTATTGATACACAATTTAAACATGGCTGAGAAGAACAAAAAATAAAACCAATTCTCACCTTTTCTAACACATTTTCTCACAGAGAAATATAAATCATAGAAAATTAGAGCATGTTAATTACCATTGACATTGAAGAGGTAGGTAATAGTTCTTCTTTTATTAACCAAGTCCCCAAAATTAAATCATTGTTCAGAAATGTAAAATATTTTGCATTTAGAGTGACTTCATACATAATCACGATTTACACAAAACTTTCTCTTGGGAATCAGTATCTATTTTCAAAGGAAAAAATCATTACATGTAGCAATCCAAAGTGGTTTTACATTGTATACCTCCTGTTATATAAGCAAGATAAATTATTTACTTGACATCATGCATATAGAATGCATAAAAATGGTACAGAATTGTGGCTAATTCTTGCAAATTAGAGCAGGAAATATATATACAGCTCATTGCATGTATGTAGTACATATACCTTCTGGCAACTAAACAAGAATTAGCTCACACTATCATGTTTCTCATAGTTACCTATAGCTGCAAAAGTTGGACTTTGAAAAAAACTGACCAGGAAGAAAATTGACTTGTTCATGATGTGGTGTTGGAGAAGGCTCTTGCACATTCCTTATACAGCAAATGTGACAAACAAGCAAATATTGGGTATATAAAACTAAACATAGAGCTGGAATCATTTCACCCTATATATTTTGGCGATGTCATACAATTAAACTCACTGGAAAAGGCAGTTAAGTTTGGAATCATTCGTAAAAGGAAATGAGGCCACTATAAAAACATGGTTGCTAGATATAATCAAAGCCAACACTGCCAGACCATAATACAAGTAAAAGAAGTCATACAATGTGGAGAGAGATGGTTCATAGAATTGATGAAAATTTGACACAATCAAACAGATAGCCTCCATCATCAGCATATATGCAGGCACAGTTAAGTCTGGAAAGGAATTTTTGTCTCTTCTATGCAATTAATATGTAAAATATTTCAAATACGTTCAGAATAAATTACTGGATTTGTTTTCTCCAATTCAGAGTTTCAAGATATATTTATAGTTTCCACAGTCTTTAGTTTCCATTACCCAGAGCCAAGTTAACAACATTGTAAAGAATAGATATTCATGATGATTTGGTGCTTCATAGCGAACTATTTAGAACATCACCAATTTTTTGATGATACATTCATGTGTGTGATTTGCTTTCCCCCCACTATGTGATTATTTTTACCTTATATTTCCTGGGATATGAAATGCCATAATCCAACATAATAAATTATACCCAGGACTATTTTCACATGTATTTTACTAGCAGAATTTATAGTATCATTAAAAAGAGGAATAGTTATTGTTCAATGATTTTTCATTTGTAATTAAGGCAGGGATTCTAATGATTACATTCAGCATTATTTGAACAATATGGAAATTGTTATATAGTGGTTTTATATCAAAGTCATAAACTCAAACTAACAGGGATAACAGTATTAGACAGTATGCCACAGAGAGTCAATGGAACCATGCTTAGTCAAGCTACAATATTATGCATACTAGTACAGAAATAAATCTCACTAAATTTAATAGATCTTATTTTAGAATTAGGCCTTTACTGGATTACACTAGTAGATTGCAATCCTATATACTATTAGAGAGACAACTGTATTGAATTCAGTTGGACTTAGTTCTGAGTAAAATAGATATCAGCACTGTATTAGAACATCAGTTTAATATATAATGATCAGGTTGGCCTGAAAATCATCCTACATTGATGGGATATTTTGGGAAAATAAGTTAATTTACCTGTTTAAATGAAGTTTCTGAATTATGCTTCATATGCAAATTAACTGGTTTTATTTATCATGTAATGCTGAATCTTGGTACAGAAATATTTTGCCTCAATGCAATTATTTCCAAGATTAATATTTTTCTCTACCAATAATTTCTGCATAATGATAAATGGATGTTCAGTCACAGCATAATTTTTTAAAGCTTTTGCAATAGATTTCCCCAAGACCCATCAGCAAGGCAGTGAAGTGGAATGTTTTTATGTGCAAAACAAGAATCAATGTTTTCCATTTACAGATGTTTGTTCATTTTTCATATCTCTAAAAATCATGAAACTAAGATATAAGCACAAAACCCCACAGACAACAATGCTGCTCATTCCTACAGTGAGTATTACAGAAACACGTGACAGAGTACCTGATAATCATTCCTGACTGTCTTAACTTTTTGAATTTTATCAACATTCTTGAATTGAAACTTGCAGAACTTCCCAGCAGTAGTAGTGGCAGTGTATGTTGTATGAAGAACTAAGAATTCTTTCTCCCAATGTAATCAAAGGTTATATTAAGCAGAATTTCCACATTTTAAAGAGTACTATTGTTATTGCAAATAAAATGATCTGAGTCTTAAGTCCCCCCACTTACCCTGTGCTCCTCTCACTATGATCCATATGGCATAACCTTGTCACTTACTGTCATAAAGGCTTTTTAAAAGAAGTACTACAAATGACCTATAAAAGATATGGTATCAAAAGGGCTTAAGACGGATGCTTATTACAATAGTTAATATTCAGAAAAAGGTTGGGCTTGTATATAGCTTAAGAAAAAAACATTGCTTGCTTGTTGATATTTCTTGATTCTTTGTTGCATCTTTTGTAAACACAGAAATAAATGAAGTTCTAGGCAAACTTGCTGAAACAATACAGACACTTGGAAGATAAAAGTGTACTACAAAATGTAATTATGATTTTTAATCTAACCATAATCTGTTTCTATATAGCAAACAACTCTTTCATCTGTGTTTCTTTCCTGCATTGTTGAGACTATATAAAGTCTTTACCACGGTCATGCTGAGGCTTCAATGTATTCATTTTTTGGCACTGCTACCCTTAGGTATTCTGGATTCTCAGCTGGAGGAAGTTTAACAATGCCATTAGGCTTGTTGTCTCTGGGCGTGAAGTCTTGCTGATAGTCTGGATTGTCCAGACTGATTTGGTAGTTGGCTGTCTGGTCCCAATAGGAAGAGCTATCAAAAACTGTGTTAGCCGAAGGCGAGAGGCTTGTGTTGAGATATTCTGGGTTATCCACTGCTGTGTTATGCAGCTTTTGATGATTTGAATCATTCATAGGCTTTGGATCAATGGGAAGGGAGAAAGTATTGTAGACTGGATTTTGTACCATAGAAGCAGATTCATTTGGGGTCACTTGCTGATTTACATATTCTGAAATGATTTTGGAAAGACAAAACGTGTTAAGAACTGTATATATCACTCAACATTTTGCCTTTATTTAATTGCAAATAATATAAATGTTAATTTTTTATATAACTGTGGCATTGTTCATCAACTATTCAATTGATACATCCTTCTGTAGACAGAAATCACAACTTATGCAATTACAGCATTTTAAAAATCAAATTTATATATTACAAGCACCACAATCTGCAATTAATTTTATCCATCGGTAAAGATGCATCTTCTTTAAAAGCAATGGAGCCTCCTTCACATAGCCTTGGCATCTGATGAGAGACTAGCAAAAGAAAAGCATTATAGCAGCGTTTGATGCAGCTGCACCTGGCAAGTCTATGAAAGGTTACTGAAGAAATAGTGCTCTGAGGAGTCACAACACATTTCCTAGTTGCAAAAATCTTCCCTTGGGATTTTATGAGTTTGTTTTCTCATTTTTTCTGCTTCTCTAGTGCTTCTTCTGTGGCTCTATTTGTTTATATGAAACTTTATGTATAACATTCATTTTCAGGACTGTTGTTAATGAAGCCAGGACACATTTCAATATTAAACTTCCTATGAACAAATAGAATCCATGTACAACATGGACAATTTATTATACAGATTGGAAGGGACAATTAGTAAAAATCTCAGGCAGATAGGACAGCAGTTAGGAAAACAAAAGTCTAAAAGACATTGAAAAACAAAATGAATAATATATTCAGAGGTGGGATTCAAAAATTCCAGCAACTGGTTCGCTGCCCAGTTGCTGGGTGGGTGTGGCCCTGGAGGGCGTGGCCTCCTGGAACTGGGGAGGGATGTTTTTTGCCTTCCCAAGGGTCCAGAGGCTTCCCTCAGGCCTCTGAAGGCCTCCCAGAAAATGGAAACAGGCCTGTTTCCGGACTTGCAGTAATTCCGGAAGGTCCATTTTCCCCACTCCTAGAACCTCTGCACAGACCCTGCACTTACCTGCATTGAAAATGGGCTGTGTGGAGACTTCTGGGAGGGGCGGGGCAGGGTAGGCGGGGGCCAGCTAGTCAGTTCAAATACCAGTTCAGCAAACCAGA